CATGCACCTCGTTTGGAGTGTATCTTCAATAAACCCCATTTTGCTTTACTTTTATTTTTGTTGACCTTAAAATCTTCTGTGTCCACAGAAAGAACCAAGGTATTTGCCTTAAAGGCTTAGTGGGCATATGTGCCCATTTCCAAGCATATCATTTACTTCAGTCTCTTTCCTGCTTATGATGCCAGCATTAATACAAAAATCACATATATGTAAAAGCAAGAATAAGTACACTAAGAATAGACAAAGCAATAGTCTGAACCAGACGCAGATATGACACAGATGTTGGAATTATCTGGCAGGGAATTTAACAAATACGCCAGGTGGGAGGAGAGAACTAGCTGGCAGAGACATTATGTCAAAACCAGGAATGAGATATTCTTGACTCATCTCTTCCTTGGTGTGTCATGATCTAGGGAATGATAAATGAGAGCCTGGGTTAGCTCCCTTGGTGGATTTTCCTTTTCCCACCAACTTCTCCCAAGCTAATGCCACCTGCCCCTTCTCAGCTCAGGTTGCATGGTTGGGTCTCCTGCTGGCAAACAACCTTCATTCTTAGGTGTTTCAAAAATCACCTCCTAGCCCTAGCTGCTTTGGCTCAGTGGATAGACCGTAGGCCTGCCGACTGATGGGTCCCAGGTTCGATTATGGTCAAGGGCACCTACCTCAGTTGCAGGCTTCTCCCTGGCTTGGGCCCTGGTGGAGGCAACCAGTTGATGTGTTTCTCTCACATCGATGTTTCTCTTTGTCTTTCCACACTATTAAAAAAAAAAAAAAAAAAGAGGTCACCTTCTACACATAAAGCCACCTTAACTCTCAACATAGGAAATCCCAAGGATTTTGGGAGCTATGAGTCAAGAAGTGTGGGTGAAGACCAGATATATCTGAGAAATATTTACCGAGTCATCTGAGGTAGCAAAAAAGCTCCACCAGAGCTCAAATTCATAGAATCAAATAGTGGAATGGTGGTTGCCAGGGGCTGGGGAGAGGAAGAAATAATGTGTAACTAAACATAAAGTTTCAGTTAAGCAAGATTAGAATATCTAGATTAGAGTATCTAGAGATATTAGAGTATTTGAGTATCTAGAGCAGTGGTTCTCAACCTCTGGCCCTTTAAATACAGTTCCTCATGTTGTGACCCAACCATAAAATTATTTTCGTTGCTGCTTCATAACTGTAATGTTGCTTCTGTTATGAATCGTAATGTAAATATCTGATATGCAGGATGGTCTTAGGCGACCCCTGTGAAAGGGACCGCCAAAGGGGTCGCGACCCACAGGTTGAGAACCACTGATCTAGAGATACTATTATAACATTGCTGGTATAGTTAACAATGTATTGTACTCTTAAAATTTTGTTGAGTGCGTAGATCTTGTGAAGTGTTCTTATGACAATAAAATGTAAAAAGGTAAGAGTTCAACATTTCATGTAAAATACTGAGTGTTAGGTCAGAGGTTCAGGAGCCGATGCATGTAACCGCAAGGCAGATGGTGACACAGATACTGGTCCTTTCCTGGAACCCGTAACAGACCTGCCCGCAGCGAAAACTCCCACAGCTCATGCTCCCCTGCCCTCACTGAACAGCTGTATAAAAAAAGTGCCTCCACTCCCTTTTGGCGCGAATTCACTGGCCCCGCCCTTGGACCCCGTGAACCTCGCCGGGGAGTGCAGATTAAAGTTCCTCCTTTTGGACTTGCCTGGGTCTCTGACCTTGTCTGCTGCGCCACGGACCTTACATTTGGACTCGGTGGCCAGAGGCTTAACTCAGGGTGAAGGGTCCCCAGCCCTGGTCCTGTTCCTTTCCCTTCCCTCCATTACCCCTCAATATACAGAAGATGAGAAAAATAAACTCCCGCAGCAGGGAGGCTCTCCCAGTCCTGAGGGATGGATCTTTATAAATAACAAAATCGCCCTCCCTTGGGGCCAGACAGGGGCCATTGCCCAACAGATCCACAGGTCGTTACACATTGGACCACTGGCACTTTGGAGGTTCCTAGAACCCTCTTCACCTCACCCACACTGCAAGAGGCGATCACGAGTGCCTGCTCCTCCTGCCCCACCTGTGCGGCTGTCTCACCCCAGGGAGGAATGCGCCCCAACTTTCCTACCTATCAAATGAGGGGACACCTCCCAGGGCAGGACTGGAAGGTAGACTTCACCCATATGCCTCCCCACAAGAAGACCAGGTATCTGCTTACCATGGTAGACACCCTGACAGGATGGGTAGAGGCCTTTCCCACCCGCAAGGAAACTGCTGAAGTGGTGGCTGAGACCCTAACAACACACATAATCCCAAGATTCGGCCTCCCCACCTCCATCCAATCAGACAACAGCCCAGCTTTTATATCAAGGGTCGTTCAGCAGGTTAGCACCTCTCTTGGCATCTCCTGGAAGCTACACATACCCTACCGACCACAGTCATCGGGTAAGATCGAGAGGATTAATGGCCTCCTTAAGGACCGTCTAACTAAACTCTCTAGAAATTCGCAGCTCCTGGCCGGACCTCCTGCCCATGGCCCTGACCAGAATCCGGGCTACACCAAGGAGCCCCACCTTCTTAAGCCCTTTTGAAATTCTATATGGGAGACCCTTCTTGCTCAACCACCATCTCTCTACTGATCCTCCTCCCCTAGGTACTTATCTTCCATATCTATCCTTACTCAGGCAATTGCTCCACGCGGACAGATTTCTGCCTAAGCCAGAACTGACCAACCAGGGCTCCCAAGGACCAGCCCTTCACCCAGGTGGCTCGGTCCCCCTTAAGAACCTACATCCAAAAGCCTTGGAGCCTAGGTGGACTGGACCTTACACTGTAATCCTTACAACCCCCACCGCGGCCAAACTACTTCGTGGCACCACCTCTCCAGACTCAAGAGGACCCCAGAGCAGCATGGCTTCTATAAATGTGAGGTGTTGGGCCCCACTAAGGTCCGCCTTAGTCATCCTCCCCCTCCTCTTTCTCCTCCCGGCCCTGAGCAACCTACACCCACCCCCACCCGCTTATGTGTGGAGGTTCAAGGTCCGTGAAACCTACTACCAGGGCAGCACACAAGTCACCCGGCAGGTAGGATCTCAGGACTGCCCTCTGGTCGAATGCCATGCAGAGATCCTGATGGCTGTCAACCTCTGGTCAGTGTCCAACGGTGGCAGACCCTATGCCTGTTTTGCTTACGACCAGCAGAACCCAGACAGGTGTAATCAAGATGTCAACACCTATGGGGGTTGCCGCTGGTCAGACTGTGTCACCCATGATGCCTATAATGAGGTCAGGTTTGGCCCCTTTTTCTGGAAGGATGGGACCTTTAACATCAGGGTCCGGGATCCCTGGGACCAGCGATGGGTTACGGGCGTTATGGGAAAACTATACGGGAGTGGTTGGAGCTCGACCCCTTCAGGGACCATCTACATCTCCCGGGAATATGTCTTGGCCCAGGAGGCCCAAGTCCAGGTCTCCAACAGCACTACATCAACGAGTCCGGAGTAGTGGAGCAAAATGTGCAGACCCTGACTAAGCTGAGTGACGAACTACATGCGAGGCACTCCCGGGACAGCTTCCAGATCATGGAGATGTCACGGGTGACTGTAAATCAGCTCCTGCTCCACCCCTACACTTGGCTGCCCTCCCACCTGCCTCTTTAAAGACCTTGGCCTTTAAAACCCCCCTCCCTTTTCGCCCCTGATCAGCAGGAAGTAGCCAAGACGATTTCGGCGCCCCCTATCACCAAAAGGCCGGGATGTTAGGTCGGAGGGAAGTCCAGGAGCCAATGCATGCAACCGCAAGGCAGATGGTGATGCAGATACTGGCCCCTTCTTGGAACCTGTAACAGACCTGCCCTCGGCGAAAACTCCCACAGCTCATGCTCCCCTGCCCTCACTGAACAGCTGTATAAAAAACTGCCTCCACTCCCTTTTGGCGCGAATTCACTGGCCCCGCCCTTGGACCCTGTGAACCTTGCCGGGTAGTGCAGATTAAAGTTCCTCCTTTTGGACTTGCCTGGCTCTCTGATCTTGTCTCTTTCGCCGTGAACCTTACACTGAGATTATCATGTTTGATAAAAGAACCAACTATTCTATTTAAAATTAAAGTTAAAAGATAGAAAAAAACATGCCATGAAAACACATAAAAAATTGAAATAGCAATATTAATATTCAAATAATATGAATTAATAACAAGAAATACTATCAGTAATACAGAAGAACATTATATAATGACAAAATGGATTATATATCTAATAAGACATGTAAGTTCTAATTGTGTATGCATATGTAAATAGATTTTATTTATTTATTTATTTTTTAATATATTTTATTGATTTTTTACAGAGAGAAAGGGAGAGAGATAGAGAGCCAGAAACATCGATGAGAGAGAAACATCAATCAGCTGCCTCCTGCACATCTCCTACTGGGGATGTGCCCGCAACCCAGGTACATGCCCTTGACCGGAATCGAACCTGGGACCTTTCAGTCCGCAGGCCGACGCTCTATCCACTGAGCCAAACCGGTTTCGGCTGTAAATAGATTTTAAACATTCTTGAAGCCAAAAGCTGTTATAAATGAAAGGCAAAATAGACAAACCCACAGGTAAAGACTCCAGTATTATTCTTTCAGTTATTAATAACTAAATAGAAATCAAGAGTTATATAGGGAAACTGAGCAACACCATCAAATAACTAGTCCTAAGTGAATATTAAAATACGTTCTTCCCTTAAACAGTATAATATACTTTCTTCTAAAATGAACATAAAACAAGGGAACATTCACTAAGAAAGATCATATTCTAGCCCAGTGGTCGGCAAACTGCGACTCGTGAGCCACATGCGGCTCTTTGGCCCCTTGAATGTGGCTCTTCCACAAAATACCGACTTCTGCACGTGGACCACGAAGTTTCAGTCGCACTGTATGTGCTCGCCCGCATGTGGTATTGTGTGGAAGAGCCACGCTCAAGGGGCCAAAGAGCCACATGTGGCTCACGAGTCGCAGTTTGCCGACCACTGCTCTAGCCCATTCCAAACCACTCAACAAATGTAAAATAAAACAATTCAAGGTATGTTCTATGTTTGACACACAACAAAATTAAGCTAGAAATTAATAAAAAAACATATCTGGAAACTTACCTAAATACTTCTAAACAACCATTAGATCAAAGAGGAACTCTCAAAGGATACGTTAAAACACATCTAAACTGAGTGAAAATGAAAATACAACCTATTAAAATGTGTGGGATGAAGCCAAATCCTTGTGTGTGAGTGTGTGTGTGCAAGTTTGTCTCTTTATGCGGTTTAATATACTGAATAATAAAAATAAAATATTTATTTTACTGTTCCATATTTTAAGAATAATTTAATCTTTTATTTTAACATCATAATGTTATAGGACAATAAAAAGCTTAGGTAAATTCTGGGACAGGTGGACTAGGGAAACTGAGGCAGGAAAGTGAAAAAAAAAAGCCTAACAGCTCGGCTGGCCCCTTGTAGCAGGACCTTATCTTGAGAACAAAGGGTTAAAACCTCTCCTCACAAAAGGATGCAGGAGAGGAGGGGGAAGGGCAGGGCAGGGGAGAAGGAATCTACAAATCATTCTGAAGCTGTTAAAACAGCAGGGAGGAGGGGGCAAGAAGAGTGTAGTTTTATCTCATCCCACTGTTTAACCAAAAGCCAGCAGTTGGGATTTAATTGCCAGATCCCGCTCATAAATTGTGGAAGAACCACAACAAAAAACGGGGGAGACCTTCAGAGTTAATTTGTACCAGGATATCTAGCAGAGGAATTAAAAAAAACACACACCCATAGGCAGGAGGGTATATAACCCCACCCCATTTGCTCTTCAAGGTTAGCTTCATAAACCAGATGTATAGATTTTTTTTTTATATTTTTATTGATTTCTTACAGAGAGGAAGGGAGAGGGACAGAGTTAGAAACATCGATCAGCTGCCTCCTGCACACCCCCTACTGGGGATGTGTCCGCAACCAAGGCACATGCCCCCGACCGGAATCGAACCCGGGACCCTTCAGTCCGCAGGCCGACGCTCTATCCACTGAGCCAAACCGGTCAGGCCAGATGTATAGATTTGCTTGCCTTCTTTAATAAATGTGCATGCTTTAATTTTTTTTAACACATTCTCTTCCTTTAATGTTTTAGTAAATTCACATGATCACAACACAATCAAGGTCTCATAAATTATAGGAGAAGACAAGAATCCAGGCTGGGGACAGCCCTCTCCCCCTGACTGCGGGTTGTGATAACAGCTCTCTGGTGTCAGTGAGAGGTGCCTGTCACAGAAACATTCATCAATGGTTGCTATTCAAGATAAAACACATGCACATGTGTGTGATGTGTGTGAGTGCACCGAGGGGACTAAATTATTACTTGCTACGTGCCTTTCACTTTTACCCATGTATGTATAAGATAAAAGATAGGCATTAATTCAGAACCCCTCATGAATTATCTCTTACTCTTAAATTATGAGAGTAAGTCATATATATAGGATACATAATTGTACATAAATTATATATTTTCATGACAAGTTAAACATAAAATTTAGTCTTGATAGATATTAAGTACAAGAAATTCTTGATGTATATAGAGGTTCATTCATTCAACAAATAATCCTTCACCACGTAATTTCCAAATCACTTCTCTAAGCCCTGAAGATACAATAGTGAACAGCTCTATGCTTGTTTTAATCTCATGAAAATTTACATTTTAAAGAGGGAGAGCAAAAATAAAAATAAAAGGACATATTAAAAGTGATAAATGTTAGGTGGCTCAGAAAGTGTCGTAGAGAACAAAGAGAACCAAACGGTTAAAGAGGAGAAAAGGAAAAGGTTTTAATCTGCGTCCCCAGGTGACCCACGAACCCCAAAGACAGGGCCAGTGGATTCGTGCCAACGGGGGTGGGGTGGGGGGGGGGGTGTTCTTTTTTATACAGGTGTTTGGTGAGGGGGCTTGAGCTGAGGAAGTCTCTGCCACAGGGGGTCAGCAGGGTATTCAGGAAGGAGTCAGTATCTGTGTGGGGGTCGTGTGGATTCCAGGGAGATGCCGGTATCTGTGTCTGGCACGCTGATCTGTTTGAAATTCCAGGGAGGGTCCATTATCTCATCACACGTCTGCATGCATCCGATCCTGGGCTCTCTCCGACCTAACAATAAATACTTAGAAAATCATGAAAAGGGTATAAGGTTTGCAGTAGTGCAGTAGAGGTTGTTGTGACTTTATTTTGAGTGGTTAGAAAATGCCTCACGGAGAAAGGAGCTTTTGAATGAAAACTTGAAGAAAGTTAAGGAGCAAGCTGTGTGGACACTGGAAGGTAAGTGTTGCCTACAAGCAGAGAGAGCAAGTTCAAAGGCCCTGAGCCAGGAGTGTGGGGGCATTTCCGGGAATATGCGGGAGGTTCTGTAAGTGTGGAAGGTGAGGTGGTGCTGAGTGAGGGTACATGAGGTCAGGGACTTGAGTACAGGGAGCCAATAATACAAGGCCTTTAGGCTTTGCAGGAACTTAAAATACCTGAACCATCTGCTTCATCCCTAGAAAAGTAAGATTAATAAGAAATATACAGATGCCTAAAAAGCTCTTATGAAGTGATTGTTATAACCAGCCTTCATTTACATATTAATGCCCAGGAGTATTTGTTGAGTGGTTACTAAAAATTATACTCAACTGAGTTGGAAAAAAGCAGATAAACTTGAATTAAGTTTGATACAAAAGCATAGATGTGCATATGTAATACTCTTTGTAATACTTTAAGCAATAAAACAATTAAAAAAAAAGCATAGATGTGTTGCCTTATAGTGAGGGCTATTACAATTAAAAAATACTTTAATTCCTGGCTGGTTTGGCTCAGTGGATAGAGTGTCAGCCTGTGGACTGAAGGGTCCCTGGTTCAATTCCAGTCAAGAGCACATCCCCGGGTTGTGGGCTCAATCCCCAGTAGGGAGTATGCAAGAGGCAGCTGATCAATGTTTCTCTCTCATCATTGATGCTTCTATCTATCTCTCGCTCTCCCTTCCTCTCTGAAATCAATAAAAATATTTTAAAAAATACTTTAAGATGTCCCTCTTTAGAGTTAATTTGGTAATCTTAAATAAAAGAATGCATTCTTGGGAGGGATGGGTGCAGGGTGGAGTGGGTCAATGGGGGGAAAAAAAGAAAGAAAAGGCATCTGTAATACTTTCAACAATAAAGATACTTTTTTTTAAAAAAAGAGAAAGCATTCTTAAAATTGTTTATTTTTTATTCATCAACAAATATTTATTGAATGTTTAGTTGTTTTTTAAAATAAAACATAAGGATCCTATAACTAATTTTATTTAAAATATTTGTTTTCATGCTTGAAATTCTCATCATGAAGAATGAATAGAATATCTTTTCTCTAGTATGGAATAAACTGGGATCAGAATTTATTAGTCATGGTGTTATGGGTTCACTCAGCGAGATAGACCACCGACTCAGAATTTAAATTTAAGAGCCTTTATTAAGCTGGCCAGCTGACTACAGTTACAGCACCCTGCCGAAACAGAGGCTGAACTGCAGCCCCGATTTCCATGGCTAGCGACTACAGTTACAGCACCCTGCTGGAGCAGAGGCCTAACTGCAGCCCAGATTACAGGAATTACAGCATTTTTATTTGCAAAAACCACAAAGTTACAAAGCCTTGTTTACATAATTAGTTCTTGACACAGTATAGCATCATACAGTGACTACTTTCCTATCTATGTGTTCTAGGAACAGAGAATACAGAGTGCCGGGAAGGGGCCATGAGACCATATCTCAAGGCCTGGCCTGATGTCAGTACCTTCCTATCTATGTGTTTTAGGAACAGGCAGCACAGCGCTCCCCTTCTGGCCAAAGTGCCAGATATGCAGCCCAGTACAATGGACTTTGATATGAAAAAATCTGGAACAAGAATGAACTAGAGCCAAAGCCGGTTTGGCTCAGTG